TTACTTGAGCAAAAATTCCGAAATTTACTGTCAGTGTTCGTTTACTTTATACATACACTGCAAAAGGAAAAGCATTTCAAAAATCTGATCTTAAACATTTATTTTTGAAGATGCGTAGAACACAAACGGACTATTATAAATCGTTTTGGACAGGAATTTTTCTCTACATTTCCATATAAAGAATAAACTGTAACACGAACAACAGAAATACAATGTTAATATCAGGACTTGATCCAAAAGAACTAATAGTCAGCGTGTGAACTAATGCAGCGGGAACAATAGACAAGTAACTCTCCTTATGATAATGGAAACACAATTAATAGTTTGTTTACTTTGGTACAAAACTAATTAAAGTTATTTCGAAACCGCAATCGTACATTTTCAAAATCTTATCAGATAAACTATGTTTATTTTAAGTATGCATGCTAATGCTTTTTGCTTGTTTTAATTATCTACAGAGATAATTGCAATTTAAGCTTTTTATACTACATTTAAAAAAAGTTAATCTTTTCTTCGTATTGATAAAACAAAATTTTTGTGAAAAATAATGTGCACTTTTTAATATTTTCCCTGACCTCTCTGGACTAGTTGATATATAAGGAGAATCGTCGAGTCCCAGTAACTGCCCCAACAGAGTTCGGTATTTATACATCCAACATTAATGTATTTGGTTATCATGTTTCTTTTGTAAGTTTGATAGATATTGTGTTATGTCTTATCGTTTGTGGTTTGAATTCTGTATTTTCGGTACATTTCACATATGTCTTATTTGTTAGTTTAGTCGAGGTAATTTACATTTTTTCATGGATAAAGTATTGTGTTAGTCCAAATAATTATAACGTCGTCACATCATTTATTTAGAATAGCCTTTCAAGACCGTCATCATCATGATAATTTTTGGTACTAGCATTGTGAAAATAATTGTGAATTTTTGGATCTCGTTCCATATAATTGTATGAATTTCAAGATTATATATACGTCACAGTTTGTGGTTTCCTGTGCTGTCGTTAAGAGATGTCCGTTGTTATTCTGCGGTTTACATGTTGTAATGTATTATTATATTTTTTATCTATGCATTTCTCTGTGCTAATTGTTCTTGTTCTGTATTCCTGTCACGTAGTGTTGTCATTTTAGCGATATATTTTTTAGCATTGCCATATAAGCGGGAGGTTTGGCTAGCCATAAAACCAGGTTCAACCCACCATTTTTTCTTAAAATGTCCTGTACCCAGTCAGGAATATGGCAGTTGTAATCAAATAGTCCGTTTCTATGTATGTTGGCGTTTGTTTTTGTTGCAGTTCAGTGTTTTTATTGTTCCGTTGTTTTCCTCTTATAGTTGATGTGTTTCCCTCGGTTTTAGTTTGTAACCCGGATTTATTTTCTCTCAATCGATTAATGACTTTGAACAGCGGTTTATTAATAGCCATTAGAAAAATATTAGTTTTGCTGCCGCAGTTTCAAAGCGTTTGTTTTGGATTAAAAATTAGAAGAGGTGAAAAATGAGCAAAACTAGATATTTCGCTTTAAGCTGTTATTTGTTTTTACCTGTTTTTGGCTACCGAATAGAAGAGCGGATGCATGACGTTATCATTTTTGTAATGCATAAGCAAGATAGCACATGTAATGAAAATACATAAAAGACGAAGACCACTGTGACCAAAAAAAAAAAAACCCATATAATAGGGTAAAACACACAAAAAGAAAAACACAAAAAACACGTCATATTCACAATTTAACAAACCTAAACTTATGTACAAACACACTTTGAACTGAAACAGCCAGTTTGATCTGAACAGCTTTTGGAAGAATGAACAATGCATATTAAGTCATATTATGTCTTTTTGTTAATTTGCAGACTTATTCACTGCGATAAATTGAGTACTGTTCAGACAATTCACTTGCAGTCAATTGAGTCTATGTATAAATTGTTCAGTACCTGTAATTTACATGAACGAAACAATTGCAACCACATACTGAATTGACTCAAATGATACTGATCAGTACTGGATTTTATGGCATTGTCAGTTCTTTTTCGACCTATGAGTTTGATTATCCCTTTGGTATCTTTCGCCTCTATTTTGTAACGTCCAGAGAATGTGGTGCATAAATGCATGCTTCATAATATCGCAAGTGATAATGTACTGTGTCAGTTTGAAGCAGATGCAATTCAGAGAAACTTACCGACCGTGCGAGGCCCTCATGGGTATATATGTAGTCAAGATCGTTAAACTCCCCGTAGAAGTAGAGAAATGAGCCGATAGTTATCTGCTTTCTGTCCCTCTCCTTTTTTGTAAGACTGGGCTTACATTGGTCTCCAGTCATTTGGTACCTCCCCAGTATCGATGCATATTTTGAAAATATCCCTAAGATTTGAGACTTCCTCCGTCGCTACTTTTTTTTTATAGTAATCTTAATCTTATTTTTATCTGGTGCAGCTGTTTTATTTTGATGAATTTTCTTAAGTAGTTGTAGTACTTTGTTTTCTGTTATGTTATGTTCCCCTGCGAACGGGTCCATTCATACTATACGAACTTCATTACCAGGGATGTGCTCCTTTGAAAAAAATGCTTCGACAGAGTTATGAAGAAGAACGACTGTTTTTTTTTTTGTCACTATCATGAATTGTGTCTGTATTTCAACTCACTTCTGGCATGTTTCCCAGCCTTATATTTTTAGATTTCATTATAGTCGTCTGTTATGTAATTTTACTGATTGTATCCTATTCCAAATTTCAGCATGATAGGTGATGTATGCTTAACAGGAGACGCTAACTAATAGTATATCGACATAACCGGTCTCGTTCATTTAAGAGTGTATGTTATTCTCTCAGTTTCAGTTCGTTAACTTGTAACGTCTATATTTTAATCGATTTTCGAGATTTGAACATCGGAAAACAAGTGTTAGATTCATGATGTTTTATTACAAGTAATTGTTATTGTTATTGTTGGCTTTGAGCTGGCTTTCAGTAACTACTCAGATCTCAGATCTGTCCATGTATGTATCAATCTAATGAGTAAAGTCTTTTTCAGCTGATTTCTATACTCTGTTCTTATGTTTTGCTGTTACATCACTGTCCTAGGTTCGGGGGATGGTTTGGTGCCAGCAACATGCTTAACTCCGCCACATTATGTATGTGTCTGTCCAAAGTCAGAAGCCTGTAATTTAGTGGTTGTCGTTTCTTGCTGTATATCATATTGGTTTTTCGTTTATTGATTTGCATAAATACATAAATCAGACCGTTAGTTTTCTCGTTTGAATTGTTTTACATTTGTCATTTCGGGGCCTTTTATAGCTTACTATGCGGAATGTATTTTGCTCATTGATTGAGACCGTACGGTGAACTATATTTGTTAACCTCTACATCAGTTAGTCTCTGGTGTGGAGTTGTCTAATTTATAATCATACCACATTTTCCTATTTTGATAAAGTCTGGAAGATAGAATTTGACAGTCAACTTATTAATCCATAAGAATGTAAATAACACGGAGACATACATAGCCTAGAGAAAATGTAAACTATTTCATCGCATGGCTTTAAGCTTAAATTTCATATATTTTTCTTGTTACAGTTTGAAGTAACTAATTCAACAAAATCTCATTTGATCGAATGGATGTTAAAAATTATTTTTCATGGGCTTCACGTTTTTAGCTCTCCTCCTGGCCTATTGGGCGGTACCAGCCCGGTTTCCTTTCGTAGCCATCGTCCGTTAACTTTTGCATTCCATATTCTCTATTAAAACATTTTGCCAAATTTATACTAGACGATATTTCCTAGTAATGGCTGTTGCCAATGCATTGAAAATCTTTAAAGGTAAAAAGTTTTAATAATTTTATTAATATTTTTGTATGGTCCATAGAATGCTGTGTAGTTTTTAAATGTTAGCTCGTTTTTTATAAAAGATATATTGAAATTTGCAATTTCATTAAACATGCGGGTAATTTTAAATGACGACATCGATCATGGATCAAATTGGAAAGGGGGTGATATTGTGTAAAATGTATCGTGTATGGGAAATTGTGTATGCTGCAATGATGTATTGTATATTCGGTATGCCTTTTTATTGGTTTTAATGAGGAATTTATACCATTCAATGACTGTAATAGGTCTTAAACACCGAAAAATTATATATACAATCAAAATTTCTTACTTTTTTCGAAAGTAACGGCTACATGCGTGATATAATCAATTAACTAATACGATTAAGATAGACATTTCTTCCGATGATCTGACAATTCTAAAGACTTAATGGCATCTTATATACACTGTCGATTTTAATTAAATTCTATGTTAAGACTTCATTAAACCTGTTTGCAGCATTGTTTCTGTTTGTTTTTCTTGAGCGGCAGTATTCACACAAACAGCTTTAGTCGCCTTGAATAACCGTTATAGTAGTCAGAACATTCTGACACTGCTTTCCAAGCTTTTTGCTATTTTCAACTTCCGTGTTCAGGTTAGTCGGGATCCAGTTGGTAGCTAAATGCAAGTTTGTATTGTATTTTAGTTTAACGAGATTCGTTTAAGATAATTAAGGGGTTGTGCGCATGTCATTCTGGCCTAATTTACCTCTTTGTTTTCCTGTAACAAGTCAGGCTATCGACTGCGTGTGTTGTTTGTCTTTGTTTGTATGTGTGTTGTTTCATATTTTTTTGAATCGAGTGTTGATGATTAATGTGGTCTGTTGTACTGCTGAGTATTTTTTATCGATCTCGTTCGCCTTTCTATGTATATAAAAATTGATATCATAATTGTTCTTCCAATTGTTATTTAAAAAGTAGATCTATAGGACGACGATATAAGGAAAGATGGCACTTTAATGGCTAAAGACACAGAAAACAAAATAACATTCAATAATTTGTCTGCAGAGAGCATTCCGAAGAGAAATTTAGTGCGTGATTACTTATTTGAGATTCAGATTTTTCTCATATTAAGAATCAACTGCAATAATGAAGACAACCGTATCGACGGTTAATGGTTCTTTTAAGAATGTGCCATACTGTTTGTCTTTTTAAAAGATTAAAGATACTGTCAGATGGTAAAAAAACTCTCTCAATTTTTGCCTTGATTGCTTTTTTTCTCAATTCTGTCTATGGTTACTCAGATATCAAAATGTTGTTCGGCAATTACAGTCTCATTAGTTTTCATTAGATACACAACCTTAACATTTTATCTGAAATTAAACTTGCGAATAAGCATCAAACTACTTTTGATAAACTTTGTTTTAAAAATATACTAGTACACAAAAATTTATTTTTTACTTTTAGCAAAACACTGCCATAATCTGTTCGAAGTTGTCGGGTTATATTAGTTATTTTCATTACAAAGTTTATAAGCGTAAAATATTACAAATATAACAAAACACTACTAATACAAATGTTTATCAAATATTGATAAATCGTTACTCTTTACAGATAACTCAATCACACTTGCATACTATACATGTAAATCCCTACGTCGAATCACTTGATGAACTGACTTTTTTAAGTAATATTGCTATTCTCCACTTTATACATTCTGGAAACAGATGGTTGTAGTCCAAGCATACCATTAAGACAAATGGCGTTGCCAACATTACTACACCAAAATACCCAAATGATGCAGCTGAAGGTCTGTCGTCACGTGCTGAGATTCTTCGTCTGATGGCTGATGATGTGTTTTTGTTGTCCACAGTCAAGTTTCCTTTAAGTTCATTAATTTCTTCTTTCATAATTTCTTTAAGCTCCGCTATAGTTAGGTTAAGATCCTTCAAGTGCCCCCATTTGTAAACTAAAAGAAGGGAAACATATTGAATGATATTTTTGTTTAAAATGCCAACATATAAATGTAGGTAGTAATTCAATACGAAATTTAAAAAAAATATTTCGTAAATATAAAAAAGATAGTTGGGGTATGATTGCCAATGAGACAACTCTTCACAAGAGACCAAATGACACAGATATTTACAACTATAGGTCACCGTACGGCCTTCAACAATGAGCAAAAGCCCATACCGCATAGTCAGCTATAAAAGGCCCCGAAATGACAAATGTAGAACAATTTAAACGAGAAAACAAGCGGCCTAATTTATGTACAAAATAATGAACGAAAAACAAGTATGTTACACAGCAACAAACGACAACCACTGAATTACAGGCTCCTGACTTGGGACAGTCACATACAGAATGTGGCGGGGTTAAACATGTTAGCGGGCGCCCAACCCTCCCACAAACCTGGGACAGTGGTGTAACAGTAAAACATAAGAACAAACTATAAAAATCAGTTGAAAAAGGCTTAATTTATTAGATGGATACAAAAAGAAATACATCTAACAGGGTACTTGTACATCCCAACAACAAAAAGACACTAAATACAGATCTGAGAGTACTCGCAGTTACTGACAGCTAGTTCAAAGCCACTAACAACTAATAAAACAATCATGCATCTAATACTAAATTATCGATTCGTACACATCCAACATCCAATGGATTTAGTGTAAAGACGTCATAAACAGTCAGAGAAAAACATGACCTTGTGCAATGCCAAGATACAGGTATCGACAGATTGTAGAACCATGAATGTGCATATGTATATAACAATAGTATTTAGTTTGCTTTTAATTTACTGATAACAAAATCAATATTAATACCAATAAAAATAATATTCAAAGATCTAATTACAGTGTTGAATTGGTAACCTTTTAGAATAAGTTTATTTAAAGGATCGATAAGTGTACAAGGATCGTTTCTAAAGGTGTTTTTTTTCACAAAAAGACAAAAACAAAAAGATTGAAAATGTCTGCACCTCGCAATATAATGCTTTTTTTCCACGAGTTGTTTCATTTCGAAATACTGTCTGCACTATAAAAAAAAATAGTTATCCATCATCATGTCCTAAAATGCATCTGTTATATTACTATTGTGGTATTAAAGACACATAGAGGTCAACATACGATCCTTAATAAAATACACATGATTATTTTATATGAAAAACGCTTAATTACCCATTGTCTTAAGGATGTTTGCTCCTCTTGTTTTTTGAATTTTTGCCAGATATTCGGAATCCTCTGGTTTTATCCATGTAGTGCAATTAAAATGTTTTGCCCGAAAACCTCTACTATTCTATTTCTATTTTATTTTCATATAGTATAAGAAGCCATATTTGAAAATCTCATGAAATCCTTGTTATTTTTTCATAGTTTTTGAAAGAAAAAAGGTACCAATGTTTAATATATGAAAAGTCTAGAGAGAATCACTTCCCGCCAAATTTTCAATGGCTTATATCTTGAAAACAAGCACACGGACCCTTCATTTTTTCTGCTTATTTAGTTCCTTTATTCATATACTTTCAATTTATAACGGTCTTTTAAAAAACTTGTTAATCAGAAACAGAGTAGCAAACATCCTTAAGCGAAATTTATTATCAAATAATGACAACCGAATTTTTGCATTGATAAGGTGACCATCGGGAACTGATAGTTCAGTAGCGGTCGATCGAATGTAATAAAACGCAAATTTTGATTACTGGCGTGGTTAAAACACGTGCTATTTAAATATGAGCGCTCCATATCAAAAAAAAAAAAAGGGAAATCCCCCAAAATAGGTATAGATATTTTGACAGCAGATAAACCAAAAAGGGCATAAACAAAACAACTAAAACCGACTAAGGTCAACTTTGTCTTAGAAAACTGCTACCTTAATTTAATAACAATCACGACATTTTATGGGTTGGACATTTTCATAATTAATCCTTTATAAAAGAAAACTGGTAATTTGATGGATAGGTCAATAGCAATGATATCGATTAATTAGATGTAACATATGCACATTTCGAAAATATTTCATTTCTGATCAGTGGTGCTTGAAAGAATATCGAAATTCGGAAGTTTCGAACACGTGCAATAGGTAGAAAGCAATAACTTGACACACAAAAATACCCCAAAAATGACGTAAAACATATTTTCAACAGATGGATAGCCTAACAATAAACACACTTTTGATATTGTGCCAAGAGGAAATTATTTGCAGGTATAAATATCAAAGTTATGTTATACTTATAATTTAATCGATCATTAGATTTTTTCATTTCACGTCATTTGATTAAATATCACCTTTTATCGCAATATAACCTCGATATGTTACCTACACTTAGATAATTAACATTTCAAATTTCTTGGATTAGACCACCGTAGCTATATTTGGCAAAACCTTTCGGAACTATTAGTCTTCAATGATCTTTTACTTTGTACTTTATTTGGCCTTTTTAAATTTTTTGATTCGAGCGTCACTGGTGAGTCTTTTGTTGTCGAAACGCGTATGGCGAACATGATGAGTTTATTCCATAGTATGCTGACATCTATTTGTACAAAATTATTTCGCATCATTATATTCCTGTACTTTAATATCTCTTCTGTTGGAGTTTAATTTTGTAATTCCGCATCAAAAAGTTTTTTTTTATGAAGTGATGCATAAAAAAGATCCACAAGTAGAGACTGTTGTCAACGGTTTTTAGAAAATATGTACGGTTGTTGAGAATATTAGGGGAGGTGGTGGTTGAGGGGTTAATGAACGGTATATCCGACTTTCTATTTTTAGTACATTTCATGTATAAAATAATTAGTTTAATTGAAAAATGAATGAACGAAAATAAAAAAGATATACGCATCAAGATTTAGCATTTGAACCTTTTTTTTTAAATTCAAAAACATCTACTCTGTTTTTGTGACTCATTAGAGAGTTATTTCACTTGACCCATATAGTTATTTATTTTTATTGGTATGGGAATTTTTAATGTTATTTCATCAACATGTAGACTAAATATATAAATTAGTAGAATTTGAAGCAAGATGGTGTATCAAATAATTTGCTTTATAAATTTTCAACACAAAACAGTCAACTCAAACATTATAAAACATGCCTGAACATAATAAGTTGCACTCGACTGCCTCGTTTCAAGAAGATTGATGCCCATTTTTAGGATTTCCCCTATCAAATTTTTACCGGGCCAAAAATGCAAAGATGCAAACTATTGCTTTAAAAATATCAATATTTTATCTTAATGTGGATTTTTTGGTTTATTTTTTTTTTCAAAAATTTGATTTTTCTTTGAATAGTTATTTTTTGCTTATTCCGACAATATCAACAAGTATTGTTCGTTTTCGTCTTTTGAATCTTACTTTTCATATAGACTACGACCAGGATATTTGATATCATTGAACAAGAAATTTCTTTCTCTGGGAATTTCAAATACTTTTTGGAATACTTTTATTTACTGTTCATTGCACATTCAATTTCAAAATAATACCAATACAGCTTTATGTATACTTAACTTGTTAAAGCTCAAGGCGTTATCAGATATTACTCATAAGATTTTATCTGTTGTTTTTCTATTTTGTATTTAAATGGGAATAAAAAAAGAAAGCTATAAAGACAAGAAAAGCTTGAATATAAAATTAATCGATGCAGATATTCAGGGTGAATGTTCAGTCCTTTTTCTTGAGACACCTTTTTCAATATGTTTTTTTTAATAAGGAGCATATACAGTCTGCTCTCAATTTGCTATTGTCTGGTTAATGAAAGGTCAAAGCAAAGGGTTTCCCATTTGGTCGATTATCTTTGGTATATTCCTGTGTTTATTGTGATTCTTAACAGCCATTATTTTTTAGAAAACTTGACATTAAGTTAGCATTTCATAAAAATTTGTTAACTTTTGAATTTCAATTATTTTTCTTTGGAAGATATTATACGATGTAGAATGTTTGTTACATACCAGGGCATTCGCGTAGATTACACCATTCCAACGTTGTATTTTTGCCTTCACAATAAGTCTCTCCATTTGTTGGAACAGGATTATTGCATTCTCTAACCTTCAAACTGGTGCCATTTCCACAAGAATGAGAGCAATGTCCTACTGTTTGCCAACATCCCCAGCTTCCTTAACATAAATTAAGAATGCACTGATATTCAGGTATAACTTGCTTTTTTATGCAAAAATTACCATTTGAAATGTCTTAATAAAGAACTCAGAATTCCTAGTTCAACAGGGCATCCCACATATACCTCTACATAATTAATGGAAGAGGAGATTTTAGAAAATCACATATCAGTCCTTCTCTCCTTTGATATTAACATCAAAACGACGATGAAAATCTCTGTCTTCAGACTTGAAACATAAAATTCACAAACATCCTTATACGCTGGATCGTCAAGATGTTCGACTGAAATTCTTTTTAAAGTTCTTACCTTCATCTTTTCTACAGTAAAAGACAGACTTTAGAAATATTGTGATGAGGTGTTTTCAACCAGCAGTGTCAATCAGACGTGGATTCTTAAAAAATCAAAAGATCTTTTATGATAACTTTTGATTTTCTACACTTATGGTATCTTTGATGAGTTTTTACATTACTATTACCCATGCTCAACTGAAAGATCGAATACATTGTCTCATTAACCAAAGTTTTTTCTACAAATATCGGATACGAAGATACACATTTCTTGTTTTGAGCCACGAAAATAATAACTTTATGAAAAACCGCACTGATTCAAAAAACAAATACATCAAAGATGATAATATGATCAATATGTTGAATTTTTTTTTTATAAAAAACAAATTTTCTGAGGTTAGTGAATTGATTTTTCAACATCTTTTCCTGTTTTATTTAAATAAATGAACAAGTATTTCTGATATTGTTAAACATCTACACCCTTGTTTTATTAATTTTGTATTTACATTGCGTCATAGATCAAATGTATTCGTTCAGTTTATGTTCACTTGTTTTTGTTAATATGTCTTTTGATTGAGTAAAGCCCTTTCAATTGATATTTTATAGTGTGTCTTTCTATGCTGTGATGTTACACTATTGTTTCAGGTAGGGTGAAAGTTGGCGCCTATTAAAACGTTTAAACACCGCTGCATTTGTTTGCACATGTCCTAAGTCAGGAACCTGATGTTCAGTGGTTGTCGTTTGTTGATGTGGTTCATAAGTGTTTCTCGTTTTTTATATAGATTAGACCGTTGGTTTTCCTGTTTGAAAGGTTTTACACTAGTCATTTTTGGGGCCCTTTATAGCTTGCTGTTCGGTGTGAGTCAAGGCTCCGTGTTGAAAGGCGTACTTTGACCTATAATGGTTTACTTTTACAAATTATGACTTGGATGGAGAGTTGTTTCATTGGCCTTCATACCACACCTTCTTATATCTAAGTAGGTAAAAACAGAAATACAGTCGGATTCCAATGAAATGGCAATTGTCTGTTGAAAAACTTGTCATCCAAACGCAACAAATACGTTGTTAAGAAATCAAGCATCTTGAAAATGCCAGTGTCAGTGAATTTTGTGTTTTTATCAGAGTATACTTTTTAAAGAGTGATCCATCCCTTTTTAAACTAGAGATATGTATCTACATTGGCCATTCTTTTTTTGTCAAAAAAAGTTAGACTAATTCGCTCAATCTGTCTTAAAATTTAGAATGGACAATAATAGTGCACAGAGTAGAAAAGTAAAATGTTTTTGCTATTGAAAGACACTTAGATTGTATGTACTCTCACAAATCTTTTAGTATACAAATGTGATTCCCACCGCTATTACAGTAGGTAGTAATAACCACGAAGCTTGGCTTTGATTGCTGCTGAAATTGATGTTAATAGTTTGGACAGTATTTTCGTTGAACAATTAGCAGACCCAGCAATGTTCGTTGTTTGTATGAGTCTTATGAAATTTAGGTACCTAAAAACGGTAAAGGAAACTTCAGTCCGTCTTCTCTTGTTGAAATTCCAAAGGAGCATAAACTAAACCACTGATTGTTCAGGTTTCCTCTTTGGTTAGTGTCGTTGGAGTATATGTCGAGCTTCCAAGTGAATTGTCAATGTCTAATTCTTTTACCAATCAGAGTATGTAATGTGATGTACACACACATACTGTATTATTAGGGGTTTTATAAATGACATATCTGTCAAAGAGGTAGGACAGGTGCTTAGCAACATTTTTGCCTTTGGAGATAGACATACCATTAATTCTAATTTTAACAACATCGCTGCCTTCGCGCATTCGGAACGAGTATCTACGTCTCGTTTTCTCGTTAATGCAATTGCAGTGTCATATACTTGACTGAATCTTTCAGAACTTTAAAGTTATGTTTCCAACCGACGGAATATAGGCTCACGGTATTTCTGTTCTTTTGTTAATATATTTTTCAGAAAAGTGTTGATAACAATATTCAGGCCAGCTGAGTTATTATTGAATTGGAAACTACCACAGGTACTGTTGAGTGGTTTAGACCTGAAGTCATCAATATTGAGATCAACAACACATGTTTCTATATGCAAATTTAAGTCACAACTGGTTTTGTATAGATATAAGAGATGATAGAACAGACTGATCTTGAAAGCATGTAGATCTTTTCATTTTAATTCATTTAAGATGAAGGATATATGCTATATTGATTGCATCAAGACTTATGTTGGCATAGGTAAGGTAAAACAGGATTGTCTCTCCGATTCATTTTTTCAAATGCCAACCGGTCTGAAAAGTCTGTGACGGGCAATATCCGAGATAAAAGCTGTTTGTTTGTAAAGATTTAAAGAAGAATTTGTAACAGTGGTTTCCTAATATAAGTTGAACAGAGAATAAAGTTAAGAAAGTTGTAGCTTTGTGCGAATGTGATGAATACCTAACGCCTCTGTATAGATGACAATAGGTCATTTAGAGAAACATCATGAAGAGTAGGTGATGTATAATGAATATAAAATGACTGTGTCCTACTCGAGGAACAGGGTTGACAATATTCATCATATTTACAAAGCTCCAGGAAGGACAAGATAAAATATCTATACCACTAACTTAATCATTACAACCAAACTATGATGTCCCAGATCCCAGTTGTTGAATATAATAGTCTTCATTTTGTCTGCGGAGAAGTGTGACAAGATGAGGATAGTAAGTTCTATAGTATATTTTTTGAGGATCCAAGAGAACCATTGTCCTTTTATTGTTGTTAGTGTCTGATCTATTGCCACAAATACGTGATAAGGTTTCTTTTGTTTCACCGACCTACCCATACCAATCCGAAAAAGTTGAAGTCTAATCCGAAAACAGGATCTGTGCTTTTACTTTTGAAGTCATCGTAGCTCCTCGTGAAGTGGATTTTTTTTAATTACTTGTAAATTGGGCATCTGTTGTCCAAATTTTACAGATTTCACAGTTTTTGGTTTAACATTAAGAAATGTAACAGTATGGTTCAGAGTCACTAAAGTATAAAATGTCTTGTAGTAGTATTGTACACGGCAGTACTTTTGAATCCAGGATAATGATCTGAATGTGTAGAATCAAAGAAAATTGACATAGTCTCTATGTAAAATTGAGAATGGTAATGGGGAATGTGTCAAAGAGAACAACCCGACCAAAGAGCAGAAAACAGCCGAAGGCCACCAATGGGTCTTCAACACAGCGAGAAAATCCCGCACCCGGAGGCAACATAATTAACAGTTTACAAAACTTCGGAATTTTGGGTTCTCAATGCTCTTCAACTCGATTCGAACGTTACAGATGAGTCTTTTGTTGACGTACAAATTTTAATCCGGGTATCTGGGTATGACTGATAGATATTTTTGTTCGAGCATATTGTTTTTCTTTATTTGTTAAACATTTCATACCGATATAACATGTTACTTTTATTATTCTTTCCTTAGTTTATTTATTTTGTATTTACATTGTATCATAGGTCAAATTCATTTGTTCAGTGTATGTTCAATGGTGTTAATATGTCCTTTGATTGAGTTAAGCTATTTCAGTTGATATTTTATAGTGTGTCTTTCTATGTTGTGATGTTACACTATTGTTTCAGAGAAAGGGTGTAGGTTTGGTACCATTGAAACGTTTAAACCCGCTGCATCTGTCCTGGGTCAGGAATCTGATGTTCAGTAGTTGTCGTTTGTTGATGTGGTTCATCAAGTGTTTCTCGTTTCTCGTTTTTTATATAGATTAGACAGTTGGTTTTCCCGTTTGAATGGTTTTACACTAGTAATTTTTGGGGCCCTCTATAGCTTACTGTTCGGTGTGAGCCAAGGCTCCGTGTTGAAGACCGTATAATGGTTTACTTTTATAAATTTTGACTTGGATGGAGAGTTGTCTCATTGGCACTCATACCACATCTTCTTATATCTATCTATCATGAATTTATTTGACTGATTCGCATGGGGGGTTGGTGTATTTATAACGAGAAACGCTCAATTTGGCGATGCATCGTTTCTCTCCTTTTGGAATTTATGCCAGGATTGCTCCAAGTTTTGTTTATAATCATGGTTTGTATGGTCGGATTGGATTTATGATTTCGTAATATCCTTCTTACACTACTATTGCCTCTAGTCTATTCTATTCATTGTGTGATGAATTTGCAAACTTACCTTGTTCTTTCTTATTTTATAATCCATTTGTAAAGTCTAACAAAAAGACATATCATTCATTCCCTTCATTTATTTACACATTGTTTTACTTTCACTTTCGATTTGTTTACATTTTACTGGGTGATTAGTAATTGTTTTTGGGTCAGGAATTGACCTATAAATCCGGAATTCCCACCATCATGATCAGTTGTTACAAAGTATATAACCGTCACCATAGTGCTTTGTTATATCATATATGCTTAGTTGTTGTAAAACGTTTAAGTGATAAAGTCGTTTCTGGAATAGTCTATTGTATGGACGAGTCTACAATTTACTATATATACATGTACCAAGGTTTTCACAGTTCACGTTGTTCTGGGTTTAGAATTCAAGCCGAGCAGTTGGATTATTAACAAGAGATTAGAGAATAAAGGTGAGATTAAAGTATAGTTCTGAATAAGAATTATAAGCAGTGTTCCTGAATAAGGAACCAAGTGATTAATTAATTATAGCTGCTGAAGAAGCAGTGGCTTCAGAGAGAAGCATTGGCTGTATACA